CCGATGTGATTCTGCAATCTGTATACAGGGAAAAAATGGGAGTTCATAACCCACTTGAATCAAATGTATGAAATATGATATGTCAAGAGCTATGTAATGTTTTGAACAACTAATAATAAAAAATTTTAATATTAAAGAATATATTTTACTGCTTTTTCTGGAGGGGGTACTAGGGATTGAACCCAGGAATGTTTAACCACTGAGCCACATCCCCAGCCCTTTTTATATTTTGTATTTGAGACAGGGTCTCACTAAGTTGCTCAGGGCCTTGCTAAATTCCTGAGTCTGGCCTTGAATTTGCAATCCTTCTGCCTCAGCCTCATGAGCAGTATGATTACGGGTGGATACCACCATGCCCACTCATATTTTGCTTGTAAGGGCTAAAAATTAAAGAATGATAAAAGAAGACCACATCAGTGAAATGTGCTAGTTACTATAACACTGTTTAAAATCTTACTGCCGGAGAGATTTTAAATAAATGTAATTCTACTTCCAATTTCTTTTCATTAAAATGACAAGTTGTTACTGAAATAAACAGAACTTTTTCCAGATATATTAATAATAAATAAAAGTCTATTAAGGTCATCTTTATGAAATGATATCAAAAAACTTAAGTATCACAGACCAACCACAGGAAACTCAGTAAAAATGTCTTGAAAAACAATAGTTTTATAAAGGTGAAATGTAAGAAACCAATGAAGGCATTTCTAGGCTTTTCTTTCCTACAATATATATAATAATAGCTTATGGTCTATCTGTTTCTAGTAGAGAAAGTTTTTGTGATTTTGGCCAAGGGTGAGAGAGTAGTAACAAATAGAAATTGATGCCAGTACTATTTTAATGGTCATTATTTTTATTTTCTTACTCCAAAAAGATAAGAGTACTACTATGATATCAACAATAAATTCTTTGATATATGTATATGCCTTAGTCTTAGTAGGTATACCTTTGATTTTATTTTAATTTAAACGAATGCTATACAAGTAGAAATGTCAGAAGAGCCAATTATTTTTTACTGCTCCTCTTTTACTTTTGAAAAGCACATTATTTTAAAATCTAGAGTAGTTATTTTCAAAGAATGTAAAGAATGCAGGTTCATAGAAATAAAAGTTTGTTTGATAAACTTAAGAATTAAAAAAAAAACACCTCAGAAATGATGTGTTGAAACAAACCAAAAGTTAAACAGTTAAGGGAATTAGCTTGTATGATCTAATATAAGCTTAATTTAAACAAAGTGCTTTAGCATATAGAAATCTTCCTCTGTTGATCCAAAAGCACAGCAGTCATGGGGATTAAAACTTATGATACTAATAATTATTCACCTTTTAGTAGTCCCCCCCATTAGTACATCTAATTATTAGTACATCTGATAAACTAGGGAACTAGAACAATAGAATTAAATTTATCTAAGTTGAAATTCCAAAAATACCTTTAGAAAACAAAACATAAAAAGAATTTGTTTCTAAATCTTTCAGAAACACAGGCAAAATTCCCCTATATTACCCAGAAAAATATATGTTTATTATAAATATCTTACTAATAATTCTGAATTTATAAAATTTTATAATATATAGTAAATAGATATGTAAATTAATAAGCAAGTATAATGACTTTAAAAACCAACTTTGTTCATTATTTCACAAAAATTCACAATAAAACAATAGAAAGTGAACCAAATAAAATAGTATTTTTCATTCTTAGATTATAAATTATTCATTAACATTCCATGGCAAATCAGATATATTTAAACCTATTGCTTTGGAATAGAACAACAAATTCACACAGCTTCAAAAGTAAAGTATGTTTATTATTATTAAAAGAAATTTGACAAAAAGTACCTTTAAAATGATAAATAAATCTAAAAACATTGAATGACCATTACTATTTTTTCTCTTTTTTTACACAACGCTATTACATTACAGCCCAGAAAATTTACATAGAACAATAAAAAGAAGGCATTGTGCTAACAAATGTAAGTGGATAATTAAAATTAGTGAACATTAAAAGCTATATTTAAGTCTAACTTTAAATCTTAAGGACAAACTTTTTAATACAAAAGCAATGAAGTGGATAAAAGAAAATCTACAATATGGAATGCGCCCTACTTTGGATGTAAAATACATTTTTCTCTGTGCTTAAGATAATCCAATTATATATTGCTTTATCATGATATTCAGAAAAACATTGGAAAGGAAATAAAAGTTTTTTAACTCCCTAAAAGTGGACACATAGAGGTTATGATAGCAGTCATACAAAACACACTAATGAAACATTCCAAGTTAAAAGATAAAGAACATGTGAATGTTAACAATTTAGATCTGACTAATCATCATTATCCTTCTCCTCCTCCTCATCACTACTGCTACTGAGAGTCAAAATCCATCCCCTGTAGAACTGAATTTTCTGAAAGCATGGTAAAGGAAAAAAGAAGCACAGAGGTTAGTTAATTATGGCAAATTTCTTGGAAAACATGTAAAAAATATGAAATGCTAAAGGAGTTAAAATAATTTAAAGCAGATTTTTATGGCTGTGATTCAGGTTGCAATCATGGATATAACATTCCATAACTTAATAGGCCTAAGATAAAACTGTGTTGACTTTTATACCCTCCATGTATAAAATGGTTTTATGATATCAATAAAGTATTCTATGAATATATTAGAATTATTCTACGTCTCTAGTAGATGTAGGAATTGACTACTAGGAAGCACTATAATAATATGCTGCTTTCTAGATAGAAAATTACTCAATAAAAGTATTTTATATTTAATTATTAAATATGGGCAAATATAAATTAGTGAACAAAGAGCACCTTTTTAAGAAAAAGAGAAACATTTTAAAGTATCAAATTTTTTAAAAGGCTCTGTCATTAAATCATTTAGATGAAACCTAAGCAGATGAGGTTTTAAATCTAGTTTAAATCATCCAATTATTTTCCACAGCACTAGTATTCATATATTTTAACTCACTCACTAATAATATAGTAGTTTCCATTTTAAAAAAAATCACTACTATTGCTAGAACAACCACCTACTTCTTAACACCTGTAAGAGAATAATACTAATTGTAAACATATTAAGGTAGCTGGAGAATTCTTATAGGTATTTTCAGCTTATACTGTATTTAACTCTCTTGCTAAACAGTAAGTTCTGAGTTTTTAGTCCCTGAAATAGCTCTTGTAGTAATAAATGCTAAGACTGGAGTATTAAAAATAATATGCATCTCTGGAAGTACTTAGAAAATCATGCCTTTAAATCCCAGAGTTTAGAACTTCATAAAACAATTAGTAAAGGCATGGAAATAAGTTACTTGTCATTTAAATCGTCAATTTCTCAACCATGAGAAATTTTTGATAACTCATAGTTTTTTTATATATTATAATCTGTTCCATTATAATAATGAGAATTGTATATTTATAAATTCTCACTACTCATTCTTATTTCCTAGGAAATTTTTAATAATAGTTTTGTTAGAAGTATTTTTAGTTTTTTAAAAGGTGATTTGAAAACTACTCAACTTTTAATCTAGTAAAATGCTAATAACATTTTGTTTGTGCTCTGACAAGATAAGTCAGGAATTGAGTAGAAATGTTAAACAGTGTTAGCCAATGTCATTTTTGCAACTATCTATCTTCAAAGAATGAAACAATGTCAATGTAGAGATTTCACAATAAGTCCTTAGAGCACAAGCTTTCAACAGACTGCAAATATTGTGACACTTTAAGGAACAATTTAAAATCACAGCATAATATCACTTCACTAAATAGTGTACATTAACTCTGTGGTTACATTTTAATATACTAGGCAGCAGGCTCAGAGAAAAATGGATATGTACATTTTGTGCAATATTATATATTCTACATGAAGTAGGTAAAATATTAAAGTTTTAAATCTTTACCCTGGTTATTTTAAATATGACAATATTTAAAATATCAAAGCTATAAAGAAGTGTCATATATTCATTATTACTGTAAGTATTTTTGAATCCGTATAATGTAATAACTACTGGTATGTTTTCAAGCAAATGATTTAATTTAGTATTCCACATCTAAACCACAGAAACAACTTTAGATTGGTATAGCTTAGTATGATCACCATGTTACTTACACCAAAATCCAGATAACAATGTCTGACTTATCAAGTAAGAAATTGTCTGAACAGATAAAATATTCTACCTTCCAAATATCTAGTGTTTCAGAAGCTAACCTCCCTTACTAAAAGATACTGGCTAGCACGTGAACTACACATCAAATCTTCCAAGGTTTTACACAGACTACACTAGGAACAACAACATCAACAAAAACAAAAAACAACCACCACCAAAAAAAAAAAAAACAACCCAGGAAGATGATCATGGCCATTTGAACATCTTCAAAAGTAAATCACAAGAACCCATGAATAATCTACAGTGGCAGTGTTCCTGAGTTTTGTTTTTATTTATTTTCAATTAGAGATAAGGATTACTTATATCTGGTATAAAAGCTAGTAGTGGTTTAATTAACTGAAGGAAGTATCCTAAATAGAAGTGGTCTAACTGGCTAAATATGTACCACATGCTATGAGGATAAATAAGGCACATTGGCTTTGAATAAATGTAGCAAATCCAGTGCAGAGCTAAGAATATATAAAAAGATTAGATTCACTAAAATTCTATTAAAAAGTTACCAATACAAGGCTTTTCTTTATATTCAAAATACTGAAACAGCTGTATGTAGTTTGTAATTTTAAGACTAAAATCTACTGTTGGCTTTCACTTGCAAAGTCATGCATTAATTGTTTTCATATCAAACTTTTTGATGCCTGTAAAAAAGAAAAAAAAATCTTACAGTAAATAAATGTATTTTAAAGCCTAAGTAAATATAAAACACTTAAAAAAGGAATTAATCAAAATTGATCAAAGTCCAGATAATCTAATATATATTTATAGCATCATATAGGTACTTAAAAAAAGATCTAGCTTTACTAATTTAATTTTAATTTATAAGACATTTCTTCACTTACCTGTAACATCTGATTTCCAGTACCATCCCTCAACCTGTAAGGTCTGATAACTCCATCTTCATTAAAGAACCGAGGAGGTCGTAGACTCTCCACTTCATAAGATTCTGTAGCTCTAGAGGAAAAAAATATAAATGAAAAAGTTATTTAAAAAAAAACCTTGTAAAACACTATAAAATGTAAATACTAAAAAAAATCTTCTTTCAGATAAAATAAAAATACCACATCACTTTTCCATTTTTAAATTTGCTTATATGATATAATGTAAATTCTCTAGAAAAAATATAAAACTATAAAAAAGTTTGTTAATAGGTTCTCTTGAGATAAAAATCAGAGCATTTGTTTCCCTTTAATACCTTTGGTTTCCTCCAGTACAATTCTAATTATAAGTGTGGATTTCAGGCACCCTTTTTTCTCTTTTTGGTACTCAACCACTGAGCCACATCCCTAGCCCCCAGCCCCACCCCCCTTTTTTTATTTTGAGAAAGAGCCTTGCTAAGCTGCTTAGGGCCATGATAAGTTGCTGAGGCTCACTTTAAAAGTGCAATTCTCCTGTCTCAGCCTCCTGAATTCCTGGGATTATAGGCATGCACCACTGTGCCCTAATCAAGACAAGGAAATTCATTTCTACTTTTAGTGTGATAATAGTTCTTTTTTAAATTTTTGTTGATTTTGAACATCTTGAATGCACAATGAATTTTAAACAAGAATTTCTTTTCTACTCATTGTTGTGATCATATGGCCTATCTCCATTAAACTTATGGTGTTAACAATCACATGACATGATTTTCTAAAGTTTGAATATTTGCCTATTTGGGCTTAATGTACATGGGCTTAATGTTTGTTATCTTAAACAATGATACAGACTGATAAATTGGCCAATTAAAAGCAGAATAGATAAAACAAAAACCAAACAAAAATGATCCAACTAAATAAACATTGTCCAAAGAGATTCACTTTAAAATCAAAGCTACAAAGGTAGAAGTAGAAAGATGTAACAAAGAATGTCATGTGAATAGTACCTAAAAGAGAGAACTGAAGTGGCTATATTAAAACCAGAAGAAAAAAAACAGCATTAAATAAAAAAAATTCTCATTATATGCACAGAAGAGTCCTTCAATACATGAAGCAAAACACTGAAAGAATTTAAGAGAAAAGATAATCTAACAGTTCAACATTTAAATACCCTAATTTCAATAATGAATAGCAACTGGACAACATGAGTAAGGAAACAGAAAATTCGAACAACACTATAAACCACCTAGACCTGACATATCTGTAGAACTTTCAACCCAACAATAGCACAATACCTATTCTTCCCAAAGCCTCATGGAACATTCTACCAGATGGACAGACAATATTTCAAGGATGTGAAATATGTCTCAAAAAATATAAAAGTACTAAAAAGACACAAGTATATTTTCTAACTACATGGAATAAAGATAAAATCTGTATAAAAAAAGAAATTTAGGAAACTAAATAAAATTGGAAATTAAATAACAAGTCTTAAGTAATGAAAGATCAAAGAAGAAATCACAAGGGAAATTCACTACTTTGACATGAATGAAAACAAAACATAACATACCAAAACTTAGGATGAACAGCAAAGAGAGAGTTCAGAAGGAAATTTATAAATGGGAATGCCTATTAAAAAAGAAGATTTAGGGCTGGGGTTGTGGCTCAGTGGTAGAGTGCTCGCCTAGCATGCACAAGGCGCTGGGTTTGATCTTCAGCACCACATAAATATAAAGAGATTGTGCTCACCTAAAACGTAAAAATAAAATACTTAAAAAAAAAAAGAAGATTTAGAGTCAACACTTAACTCTTTTAAGAAACTAGGAAAAGAAAAGCAAACTAGATCCAAACCTAGCAGAAGGAAGAAAATAAAAGAGCAGAGCAGCTGGGTACAGTGGCATACACCTGCAATAACAGCAATTCGGGAGGCTGAAGCAGGAGGATCACAAATTTGAGACCAACCTTAGCTACTTAAAGAGGCCCTAAGCAGTTCAGGGAGACCTTGTTTCAAAATAAAAAGTAAAAGGGCTGGGGATGTAGTTCATTAGTGACATGGCCCTAGGTTCAATCCCCAGTACCAAAAGAAAAAAAAGGGGTTGGGGGAGGCAGAGATAAAGAATAAGATAAACAATTTTTTGAAAAGACCAAAAAAAAAAAAAAAGACTAAAACACAAAGCACTAGGTAGAAAGGAAGATTCAAATGACTAATACCAGGAATGAAAGAGAGAATACTGCTACCAATTTTACAGAGATAAAAATACTATGAATAAGTGTAAATTAACAAATTAGACAATCTAGATTAATCAGACAATTCCTAGAAAGATAAAAACTTTTGAAAGTGACTTAAGAAACAATCTGAGAATTAATAATTTAAAAATTTACCAGAAATAAAAGTTAGAGCCAATGGTTTCACTGATAAATTTTAACATGTGTTTAAAGAAAAATTAACATCAATATATTACAAATTCTTCTAAAATTGTCTGTGAGGACAGTATTTCCCAAATATCAAAACCAGGTAAAAACAGTACAAGAAAACTACAGAACAATATCCCTCATGAATATACAAAAATACTATGAAATGAAATCCAGCAAAATATGAAAAGGATTAGAAATCATGATGAAGTGAATTTATTGCAAGTATGTAATACTGGTTCAACATATGAATCATTACTAAAATAGATCATATTAATAAAGGTAAAACAGTATCATCTCAATAAATGCAGAAAAAGCACGTAATAAAATCTAACATCATTCCATAATAAATACACTTGACTAGAATATAAGGGAATTTCCTCAACCATCATGATAAAGTATGCCTATGAAAAACCCAGCGTTAACACCATAATTTTTGATGAAAGTCTGAAAGGTTTCTCTACAAGCTCAGGAGTAAACAGGAATGTCTGCTCTTAGAATGTCTAGTCAACACTGTACTAAAGGTTCCACTGAGTGCAATTAGGTAAGAAAATGTAACAATATGATATCCATAACTAAGCCAATCAAAGAAGAAATAGATAATTTGGACTTTATCAAACATTTAGTAATGTTAAAAGACAACACACAAATAGGAGAAAATAGGGTTGAGTTTCCAGAATATATAAACAACTCTTACAACCCAACAAGAAACACCCAATCCATTAAAAAAAAAAAACAGAAAAAAGGGATTAGAACAGAGAGTTCTTTAGAAAAGATATACAAATGACCAATAAGCACATGAATGATGACAGACATCATTAGTCATTAAAGATATGCAAATCAAAGCCTTAATGAGATACCTCTTCATACCTAATATGTTAGGTATTTTAAAAAAAGAATAAAAAGGAAGATTATAAGTGTTAGAAAAAAATGTGGTGAAATTATAAATTTACTTTGCCTTTAAGGATGTAAGATAGTATAATTACTATAGAAAAGTCTGGCAGATCTTCAAAAAGTTAAATATAGAGCAGTCGTATATTTTTTAAAAAAATTTTAAATTTGTTCTAATTAGTTATAAATGATAGTAGAAGGCATTTTACCACATCGTACATAAACGGAGTATATCTTCTCATTCTTCTGGTTGTACATGATGTAGAGTTATACAGGTTGTACAATCATATATGCACATAGGGTAATAATGTCTGATTCATTCTACTATCATTCCTACCCCCACAACCCCTCCCTTCGTTTTACTCCCCTGTGTCTAGTCCAAAGTACCTCTATCCCACCCTGCCTTTATTGGGAATTAGCATCCACATATATTAGGGAAAACATTTGGCCTTTGGTTCTTTGGGATTGGCTTATTTCACTTAGTGTGCTATCCTCCAGCTATAATCATTTACCTACAAATGCCATAATTTCATTTTTCTTTAAGGCTGAGTAATATTCCATTATGTATATATACACCACAGTTTCTTTATCCATTCATCTGTTAAAAGGCACCTAGATTGGTTCCATAGTTTAGAGAAGCAGCCATATTGACCTAGTAATTCCACTTCTAAAACATAGGTCCACACAAATACTTGTACATGAATTTTCTTAGTGGCATTATATATATATATACACACACACACACACAATAAAATATTAGGCACAAAAAAGGAAGGAAGTTTTCCATTTTTGCTGTAACATGAATAAATCTTGAAAACAGCACAATGCTAAGTGAAAGAAGCCAGCTACAAAAAGGCCACATGTTTTATGATTTCATTTATATGAAATGTCCAGAGTAGGCAAATCCCGTTGACTTCAGATTTTTTGACTCCAGACTTGTGAAAGAATAAATTTCTGTTGTTTAAGCACCAGGTTTGTGGAAATTTGTTACAGTGGCCATAGAACACAAAAAAATAGTATATAAGGGATTTATCCACATGATTTCTTACAACTTGGATGTAAATCTGTAATTACTGCAATAAAAAAAAAGGACTATGTACAGGTTAAGTGATATTCTAAGTGCTATGGAAAAGGACAAGAGCCACAACTATATTCACAGAACTTACATTTAAGCTGTAGACATAAATAAACAAAGTAAAATATATAGTATGTTAAAAAGTGGCCAAAAGATAAAGAGACAGAAAACTACAGAAGGGAAGGGAAATATGAAATACGTGGAGTCAGGAAGGGGTCAGGAGTGGTCACAAAAAGTCTCAGTAGGAATATAATTTCTGAATAAAGAAATAAGCCCTGCTAATTACTGGGGAAAGTATATTCGAAGCAGAGGGGACTGAAAAAGTAAAGAAAGAGGAACATTATCTTCTGTTGTGTACCACATCTGATTTTCAATTTAAACTTATGACATCCTCATGTAGGATTAATGGAATGGGGGGGGGGGCGCAGGAATTTCTCTTTTCTCCTAAACCATAGTAAAAGCACCAACTGCCTGTTTCTTAGCTTCTGAAACATCACTTTCTCGATTATTCTCCAACCTTACTAGCTGTTCCTCTCCTCCTTTACTGGGTCCTCCTTAGTGCCCTCACTTTGCCTAAGTGCCAAGTTCTTGGGCCTCTTTCATTTCCATTCTCATTCCCTAAGTGATCCCATTAAATCTCATGTTTTAAATACTTAACTGTAGCTTGGAAATTTCTCTTCAAATTCAGACTCTTGCATGAAACAACTATTTGGGTCTCCATTTGGATGTCTAAGTGGTAATTTAAGCTTAATATATTCAAAATAAACCCTTGAACTCCTCTTTACCTAAAAGTAACGATAAACCATTGTTCTAGTGAGTTCATACAAAAAAACCTCATAATTATCCTTGATGATTTTCCTTTCATATCTCATATCCAATTAATCAAATTAATACTACCTTCAAATTACACTCATAACATGACCTCCTCTTACGATCTCTAACACTATAATGGTTAAATCATATCATCTCTCTCTGGATTAGTGCAGAGCCCTTTTAAGTGCTCTACTGTTTCACCCCAAATCCACCTGTGGTTTATTCTTTGCCACCCACATCATTCTTCTGGGTTCAAAACCTTCCAAGGACTTCGCTTCTTTCTTAAAAACTCTAAGTCCTTACATTGGCTTGCCAAGCTCTGTGTGATGAGTCCCTACTCATTTTCCCTGATAACATCTCCCAACGTTTTTTGGGCTTACTAGTCCTGCTGTCTCATATAGGCCAAGCATTCCTTCATTAGGACTTTTTACTTGCTTTTCTTTCTGCCTGGATTCTCACATGACTCTTACTTCTTTCAGGTCTCTCCTCAAATATAATCTTATGAGTTCACTGAAGTGAATTGACCCTGAATATTGTATTTATAAAACAGCAACTTTTCATCACTATCATTTTGGTTCTCCCATTTTGTCTTTTTTTTTTTTTTTTTTTTTTTTGTACTGGGGATTGAACCCAGGAGTATTTAACCACTAAGCTACAATCCAAGTCCTTTATATATATATATTTTTTTTATTTTGAGATGGACCTCAATAAGTTGTTGAGGCTGGCTTTGAACTTGTGATCCTCCTGCCTCAGCTTCCTATGTTGTTAGAATTACAGGTGTACACCACCATGCCTGGCTGGTTCTTATCCTTGATCTACTTTTTCTTCACAGTATTTTTCACCATTTAGCTTATATTTACCAGCTACTTATTTTTGTAAGCTGTATCAAGACAGAAACATTGCCAATTACATTCACTTGGTAGTTCTTTAAGTAACTGGAACAGATATGATAACTATATATTACAGAAATACAAAAAAATTTACTTGTGTATTAAATAGCTCATTAACTATGTTTATATGATCTATTTACTTACTCTTGTCTTTCTCATCTGCCAAAATTGAGAGAAATATTAAATTCTTTCATAAATATTATATATAGGAAGGCTTTATAATTTTATCAAAATTATAAAACCTGCTTTATAAAAATTGAGCAAATTTGTGAAGTGAATACAAGTTGAAGATTATTCTTAACTTTGTGGCTTATTATTCTTTTGATTATTAGAAATTGCCTTATTTATTCAAAAAAAGCTTTTTCTGCTTTAGAGTCTATTTCATGTAAAATTAATACATATATACTCTTCACAAATAATAAAGCAACAGAATGCTTGATGCCTATCATTCCCTTTCCAAATTCCATTTTATTATTTTATATTAATTGGGATCCAATTTTGCTTTTTTATATAGGCCAATTAGATTTATCCACTAATTTATATTTTCACCTTTGATTCTTCCTTTTGGTTTCAAAGTCTTTTTTCGCCTTTGATTTTTAAAAGTAATGTAGCAGAATACAGAAATACAGGTTTTAGCTAAATGACTGGTAAGTCTAGCAGCTCTGGGCAGATGCGTGCATAGCTGTTTTGAATTCCTTATGTTTCACTGCCATTTGAGTTTCTAATGAATGTGACTCCAGTTATAGTAAACTGAAGTTAAAGGTAAAGGAAACTTAGCCTCTTCCCCATCTTAATTCTAAATTATTATAAAAGCAAAGACACACAGGAAGAGAAAGAGAGGGTATGAATTTAACAGTTTTATAACAAAATAAGATCATAAAGGAAGGATGAGGATAAAATGAGTTTGAATCAAATATAAAATGCCATTTTTTACCTCTCAAAATAGAATACAGAATATTATATTTGCTAATTTCAAAACTGACACATAGCATTACATTAATATATTTCAATTAAGGTAACTAAAAAGCTTCTACGTGCTAAACCATTCTTGGGAACGGCTTCTAGGAATGAATGACAAGTAAAGGAGAACTATATAAATTTGGAATGACATCACAACAACTTAAAAAGAATCAAAACGAATTTGGAAGTCATATGTAATCTGCCATATTATAGTGTTCACAACTAAATGTGCAAAGTCAAACAACAGGTATATTTCATTTCTCATGGCTTATACATTTTACCTCAAAGAGAATTATTTACCTTTTAATTCCCTGAAATGTACTGCTAGCCATGTCTATGATGCCTCCAGTTGGTCTGGTCACTGCTCCAACTAAACCTTTCCCAACACCTTTAAAGAAACCAGCTGCTCCTTCTTTTTGAGCTCCTAGAAAGAAAAAAATAATAAAGATTCAAACAATCGGACCAAGAATAAAAAAAAGCTATTTGTTAAAGACTTTGATATATATATAACCAAAAGAAACAATATCCTTACCTTTGATTGGTTTTGTAACAATTCCTGTAATGCCACTCACAAAACCCTGGAGGGAAAACACAATTGAAAGTTTACAATACATTTATATGATGCTCTGAAGAACTAAGTATGGCTTAAACAAAACAAAACAAAAAATACAGAATTATTCATTGATATATACCATTAAGAATTAACAAATTTCTTAAGTATTTTATTGAAACAATGTTTTTGGAGGCTACTAATATTCTATATGTCAACACTCACTACTCCTAAAATATCCAAATAATAATTTAAGCAGCGAGAGTTATAAGACTATTTTTTTTTTTAATTCATAGAATGTGGATTTAAAAGGTATTTCCTAAAATGTCCACAACCCTGTGAAATTTCTTACAGAAACTAAGCCTTTTCCTCCACGAGTAATGCCTTCTCTAAGCCCAGCTGGTTGCTTATTCATTGCTTCTCTTCTCTTCTGCTGGTAGTCTTCATCCATAGTCATAGCTGCTACTCCTTTAGCCATAGCACTGGTGATTTTGGAGGCAGCCCCAGCTAATCCACCTAACAGAAGTTGTAATATTTTTAGTAAAAACAATATATCATTACTTTTCAGTACAATAAAACATAGCATTCTATTTCTTACCGACAGCTCCACCAACTAGTGCTCTAAGTCCTAGTGCCATTCCTTCCACAAACTCTTCAGGACCCTGGATAGCCCCCTGAAGTGACAAAAGAATTAAAGGAAAAAAAAAAAGGTTATATTTACTTTTAAAAGTGAGCTTATTGATATAAATGAGGAAAGTGGTAGTGAGGAAAAGAATAAAGAAGTGCTGCCAGCAAAAATGTAACACTGAAAGAATTTTCAGGGAAAATTTCATGACATTTAACATGTAAAGAATATATTGTTGGAAGCTGTTCCAAACTTAGAAAGAAGTTTGACAATTCACAAAAATTTGGAAAAGATGCTCACTGTGTTTTGTAAATTATATGATGAAAACAAAGCAAGACACTTCAAACTACTCTTAAGTTTTTTAGAAAAGAAATAAAACATTCAAATACTTAATGTTTCTAATGTTTTTATTATATGAAATATATATTAGTTTTACTTCATTTTTTGTTACCCTATAGGGTATACATCTTATAAGTGAAAGCAGGAAAGTTCTGAATGTTTTGACAAAGTCTTCAGGGATCTAAACAATCATAATTTTTCCCACTGGTTATTAAGACTACTTTGCAAGATGTTAGCTTGTATGGTTATTTTTACAGTTCTACAGTTCTATGCAAAGCAAGATTTGTCAAACATGGTGACCTTCCTTCTGTTACACTTTGAATTGTATCAATCTTTTATATTTCAAAAAACCACTTAAAATCCAGTATATCTAATAAAATCAGAAGTTTGAGTAAAAAAGTAGAAACTTTCTTCCAACCTCCTCAAACCTTAAGAATGTTTGCTGCAAATTATCATTTTGTGTGTCTCCACAAATCTATTTACTCTGACAGCTCAAGTTAGCAAAAGAAATGCATTATCTATTCAAAAGTAACTTGATATGTTCCACAATATAAGCGCAAATGTTTTACCTGGTAAGGTTCATAAAAAAATGCTTCCACACCTTCTGAAAATTCTCTAATTAAGCCAAAAGGATTTCCCAAAACATCAAGTCCAAGAATTAGTACATACATCTGCTTAATGGCCTAAAAATGAAATATGAACATTAATCAATTCAGATCATTAGACCTAATTCTCTTAAAAATTACTTAATATACATATTCAGTTTTCTGAAGATAACATCTTCACTACCAATTTCAACTCTTACTTTATATCACCCATTCATCATTATTCTGTTTTTAAAAAGCAATTCAGTATTATACTAATGAGATAATATATTTACATAAAGCTCTAGAATATTTAAAATACTTTCACTTGTATCATTATTTATATCAGTTGTTATTACCAGCACCATTTTATAGATTGAGTCAAATGATGCCCAGGGTCACAAAGTAAGTATATGGCAAAAGTGGGATCCAAAACCCAAATAAATCTGGAGTCATGCCTAGTGATCTTTTCACTATACCATAGGTAATTCAGATGCTAAGTTATATCAAAAAATATAGAAATCTTTCCAGAGGTGGAAAAAACTATTAAAATAACATCTATCTAACTTAACAATTTTACATTAAAAACACCTTGTATTCACCAGTTACTAATAAATATAATGAATTACATAGCTGATATTTCATTTAATGAAGAAAAATTTATGTCATTTGCAGGAAAATGGGTAGAAATGGAGAGAGCATCATGTTAAGTGAAATAAGTCAGACTCAGAAAGTAAAGAGTCATGTTTTCTCTCATATGTTGTAGCTAGAGAGAAAGAAAAGGGAGAAAGAAAAGAATCTCATGGAAATAGAAGGTAGAGTAAGAAGAAGAAGATCACAGGGTAGGGAAAGGAGAGGTACTGGTCAGTGAAATTAACTCAGTTATGTGCATGTATGTATATGCTACAATGAAACCCAATATACTATAAAATTATTATGCTTAATAAAACATTTTTTTAATAAAAATTTTTACTTCTAAACTACACTGATACAGAAAAGAATTTCTGACAGTGGCTGAAAAATACAAGGACCAAAAAAACCAAATGGGGGTTAGTTCATATTTCTTACTATAACTCTGGAAGGAAAAAAATTTTTGAAAGTTTGAAAATGGCCATTTACTTTCTTGACAAATTTATGGTATACATCAATGAACAGATACAGAAGGTTTTACTAGAGTATATCATTCTGTCCCTTTGTAAAATGATCTCAGACAAACCTGTTTTGAATAGTGTTTTATTACTTCAGACTGTAGTTCAGATGTTGTATGGAACTGATAGTTGAGTTCGAAAAAAGCAAGCCTGAAAAAAATATAAATATACGTAGACACACACACATATACATACGTGCATATGCATGGAAAGAGAATATTTTAAATATTGATACGGTTTTATTTTCTTTAGAATTTTTACCCAAATCTTTCCTAATATATTTTCCCATGTACATCTCTGCATTTCATAGTCAAAGAAAGTTTTAAGAAACTGATGAAATCTATAGATCTTACACTCTGGAAGTCACCAGAAGGCAAATTTTCCTATAATTTAGGGGATTCAAAGACCTTCTGGATCCCATTCATGGACCACTAAAACTGTTTCCTAGTTCTGTCCTATCATGGCACTCCCAGAAAATGACCAACATGTTGGGGTAAATGGCTGCTTAAGGATGGCTGGAGTTCAACTGCTGCTGGTCTTTCTTAATGGGCTGACAGGTGAGGAATCAAAATCAGTCTACTTATAATACATTCACAAAATATGACTAATCCACTAATTGTAAAGCTCTATGCTTCTTAGTGTTGAATATGAGAGCAAAAAGATTAGATATTTCATCCTATTCTGCTGCCATTAAATGTACATTCTTTATTTAACTGTTACCTAGGTTCAGAGTTACCTCTTATTACACTTATTTTCAATACTGACCTTATTCACCAGTTACACATGCTACCTGCAAAGTTCATTCTTTTTTTCTAAAAATAGAGTTTTTGAGTCTTTGGTCAGATGACTTAATAAAGAGCTTACATTCAAATATAAATTCTTGACCACCTGTTTAAATTGATCCCTTTATTTTCCCTATTATTGCATTCATTCTGTCCTAATTGAGACTTCAAGCACAATATCTCCGGGCAACCATGTCTTCTTAGAAATATTTCCCAGGCCAGACATTTTAAAGTATATAAAATTGCATGGCTTACGTCAATTTTTCTTAAGAAAATTATTTAATAATTATTCTTTGATTTAGTAGTTAGGAGCAGATAAAATGCTTGATGTTAGTTTGACTGCATTCTACTTAAACACAAAACCACCTTTCCCCCATTATCTACTACATACTATACATACTTTCTCATTTACAAAAATTTTTAGGTAAATAAAAAGGAATTATTCATCAGTATACAAATCTAAATATTGAACATACTTAAAAACTACATCTTGTACATCTGTAAGGGTGGCACCAATACTCTTTAGCAAAAGATTTAAAGAATGAACTGGGATCAGTCCTCCATGATGCTCTGAATCTTTAGCTTCTTCTCTACCCGAACTCAGTGAAACACTTAAATGCAGCTAGAGACAAAGAGATACATATTTAAAAGTACTTTCTTCATACTGACAATTTTAATTTTTAAAAATCAGCTTAATTTTAAGTTTACTACACCATAAATAACATTTTAAAGTTACCTGGATTATGCCAAAATTAAGTAGAAATTTTAAAGAAACTTAAAATCCAACACAGCTCTATTTAAATTCAACAATTTAAAATTATATGATATTTACTTTAATCCTATTCTTTTGACAAACTTAGGAAAATATTTATTTTTAATATTTGTTAATAACATTAATAATCTAGAAGCTAAAGCTGTTGAGAATAACTCAAATATATCTAAATGTGTACATTTCAACTATAAGAATTGTGTTAGTATGATGAAACCAGTTAAAAAGTACAATTGTATTGTACTGCATATATGTGCATATATATGTGAAATGATTTTAAAGTATTCTGTAACTCAAAGCAATTTTTTGTTAAAATCTAACTTAGATTTACTTTAATTCATTGTCCAATTTTAAAATCAAGTATACTTTGTAAAATAATTCAAAACTAATACACAATATATGAAAATTTAAAATTGTCAGCTAATAGCTTAACAGAAAATTAAAGTAAAACAATGTTAGGTCAAAATACAAATACATGCTGTAGGGTGATTCCACTATTATTTCCACATAACTTTTTTGTTACTTATTTATATCTGTAATTACCATAATAGAGAATTTCTATACTATTAAATAATATAATTTAAATGCTATATCACTCCTAAAGAGATCAAATCTATTTGTTATTACCTAGATTATCAAGGAAAATAAAAATAAATTGTTTTTCCCTACCTTGATAGGAGATATATGAAAATATTCATAGAGACTGACTTGTGATTGATCTACCAATGAAACTGTCTCATATTCTTCTTCAAAAGCTTCTTTATCTTTATGAAATAGTTCAAGCTAAAAAAGGAACATAAAGTATTTTAAAACTGAAAAAATCTGCCTGTAGGAGATTTAAACTAATAGCTCACATATCTAAGAAAGCTCCTCTATAATACCTACTCAAGAGTACTCATGATTAGAGGTTACTGCCTCAGAAGAGAAACTAAAATTTTTATAGTTAGAAAAGTTCTGTCTGATCACAAACTGGTAAGCATATCTTTTGTTTTCATTCATTAAATCATTAGAAGACACGAAGATTTTCTTCAAGTGACTACAGATCTTCTTTCAAAAGGCCACTAATCCATTCCATCAACCTACTCTGGGGCATATTTGTTTCTTCAAACACAATCATAATGATTACACTTATAGAATGTTGGTTCCTGCTTTACTGCAATCTACAGAGGCCAGTTAATATAATTTTGAAAAGAAGGAACTGATCAATTTACAATAGCTAAACTATGGAAGCAACCTCGATGCCCTTTAACAGATGAATGGATAAAGAAAATGTAGTACATATACACAATGGACTATTACTCAGCCTTAAAGAATAACAAAATTATGGCATACGCAGGTTAATGGATGGAGCTGGAGAATATTATGCTAAGTAAAATAAGCCAAACCCCAAAAACCAAAGGCTGAATGTTTTCTCTGAGAAACGAATGCTAATCCATAAAGGGGGGAGGGAGTGGGAGAGAATAAAAGAACTTTGGATTGTTCAGGGGGAATGAGAGAAGGGGAAGGGGGATGGGATGTATGACTATACTACAGGTGTGACTCTGCACCACGTTCAGCCACAGGAAGGGGAAGTTGTGCTCCATTTGTACACAATGTGCCAAAATGCATTCTACTGTCATGCATAACTAATTAGAACAAATTAAAAAATAAAATGAAAAAAGAAACTCATGAACTCATGCTTAAGTTCACATAATAAACCTATTGCTAAAGCATCAAAGTAGAACCAGGATAAATCGAGCAAAAAAATCCAACTACTATTTTAAAGAAAACATATAAAAAGAGTGATTTACTAAATGATACTGCAAAAACAGAAATGGATAAATCCAAAATGTGAAGAATTTTAGAGCATGAATGGATGAGTTTCTTCAACAATAAGTGGTTTCAAAAAGATGCAATGCATTAAACATATTTAAATATATTAATCAAAGCAGCCTGTGGACCAATTTTGGATCATGATATATATGATCAAATGTAAAAAGAGTGTTTTGCGACAGTGAGTAAAATTTAATCATGGCATGTCAATTAGATAATATTACGGAATAATTTCTAAAGTTTTTACTATAACAATAGTTACGCAAAAAAGGAGAAGGAGTGAAAATAATTTTGCATGAAGTGATTATATTTTCATTTTTTTTAAAGTTCATCTATTATTTTAATAGGTTTCTTTTTATTCAGTGAGTAAATATGTTTTTTTTAAAATTTTTATTGTTGGCTGTTCGAAACATTACATAGTTCTTGATATATCATATTTCACACTTTGATTCAAGTGGGTTATGAACTCCCATTTTTACCCCATATACAGATTGCAGAATCACATCAGTTACACATCCACTGAATATTTTCATTTTTGATAATCACCAATACTTCTCTTCCAAACCCAAAGACATGTTACTTCTATGTGTTGAGAAGTAGCCCAGGAACTTGAAGATAAATTTGTAGAAATTATGCAATAAAAAAAGGGGTGAAGAAAAATGAACAGTGTCTCAGGGAAATATGGAATACCACTTATATAAATCAGAAATTGCTTTGATGAGATGTATATTTTAAGTTGTGGAGCAATCACTTAAAAAAACTCAAAGTTATGATAAGCACATTACTAAAGAAATTTAAACACTTCATAAGAAAATGTTCTTTTAATACAAAGAGCAGTAAGAAGGCAGAAAGGAACAAAAATGATGAGACACATAGAAAGCAAAAAAATAAAATGTAGGCTAAATCCAATTATATTAGTAACAAAATGTGAATGAATTAAACAATTCAATCGACAAGCAGAAATTATCAGAATGGATGTAAAAATAAGTAAGACTGAGTCAGGCACAGTGGCACACGCCTGTAATCCCAGCCACTCTGACCTTAAAAAAAATGGATTATAAAAAATGACTATCGTATTGTCATGAGCAACTAATTAAAAAAAATGCTGTCAATAATTTTATACCAATACATTAGAAAACTTAGATAAAAGAGACAAAATTCTTAGAAGTATGCAAACTGGTGGAAGTGGCCCCAAAAGAAATATACCATCTAAATAGATCTACAATAAATGAAGGATTATAAATTTTAATTCAAAAAAGTACACAAAAAGGAAATGTGGGCTCAGATGGATTCATTGCTGAATTGTACTAAACATTTTAAAAACTACTAATTTTTCACAAACTTCCCCCCCCGCAAAAAAACAGAGGAGGAACAATTCTCAATTTATGAAGTCATTACTACTCTTGACACCAAAACCAAACAAAGATATCATAAGAAACCACAGATGAATATCTCTTATGAATGTGAATATAAAATCCTCAATGAAATATTAATAAACTTAATCTAGCTATTTACATATGTATTATAAGAATAATGACATGTAAATGTATGTATTACTCAGACAGTCAATGTCTAGAAAAAACTCAGTCAACATCATACTTAAGGGTAAAAGACTGAAACCTTTCCCACTAATATTAGAAATAACAAAAGGATTGCTGCTCTCACTTCAGCAATTCACTAGTTAGTACTAGGGCAATTAGGGAAGAAAAAGTAATCAAAAAAACTTCTCATATCAGAAAGGAAGTAGTTGATCTACCTCTCTTCTTAGATGATATAACCTCATATTAAAAAAATAGGATAAAAACAATCATAGCTAACAAAATAATTCAGTTACATTGTAGAAAATAATACATGTGAAAATCAATTTTATTTCAATGAAATAAAATATACCAATGAAAAAATGGAATTAGGAAAACAAACAATTTCATGCATAATACTGAAGAAAGAATATAATACTGACGAATAAATTTAATAAAAGTAGCTGGGTGTGGTGTGAAAAGCCTGTGATCCCAATTACTTGGAAAGCTGAGGCAGGAGGACTGCATTCCAGGGCAGACTCAGCAACTTAGTAAGACCTCAGCAATTTAGCAAGACCCTATCTCAAAATCAAAAAATAAAAAGGGTTGGGTTGTGTACCTTAGTGATAGAGTGTGCCTGGGTTCAATCCCCAGGTCCCTTTACCTGCCAAAGTTTAACAAGTACAAAACCTATACTCTAAAAACTGTAAAACATTGTTAAAAGAAATGAAAGATCTATAAAATGGAAAACCATCTCATGTTAAAGCAGCAGAAGTCTTAAAACTATTAATTCTGTCTTAATCTATAGATTCAATGCAATACCTATCAGAAACCCATCTGAATTTTTTTGAAGGACTTGGGGAGCTAAAAATTTATATGGAATTCCAAGATTCAGTATAGCCAAAACAATCTTGGAAAAGAAGAAAAAGTAGAAACACCCATTTCTTAGTTTCAAAACTAATTACAAAGCAATGATAAGATAGTATTGTCTGGTAACAAGGACAAACAGAACAATGGAATAAAAATATGTACCTATGGTCAACTGGTTTTTGACAAAAGTGCTAAGATTATTCAACAGAGGAATAAGTATCTTTTCAAGAAATCACACTAAGTCAATTGGATAGTCATATGCAAAAGAATAGCTTAGACCCTTATATCATATGCAAAACTGAACTCAAAATGGATCAAAGACCAAATTTTAAGATGTAAAAATCTAAAAGTTTTAAAACATAATGCTGAATATTTATGACCTGAGATTTGGCAAAGGATTCTTAGAAATGACACCAAAAGCATGAACAATAAAATAAAGAATATGTGGTTGGGGTTGTAGCTCAGTGGTGGAGCGCTCGCCTAGCATGGTAAGGCACTGGGTTCGATCCTTAGCACCACATAAAAATAAATAAAAAATAAAATAAATAAAACATGAGAAAATATTTAAGAAACCTATCTCTGATAAGAGATTAGTATCCAGAATGTATCCAGAATATATGAAGAACTTTTTATAATTCCTTAATAATAATAAAAAAAACCCAAATATTAGGCAAAGGCATCTGAATGGACATTTCTCCATGAAATATACAAATTATTAATTAGCAAATGTAAAGATTTTCAACATTATTAATCATAGGTAATTTCAAATCAAAACCTCAATAAGAAACTATTATACACCCCACTAGAATAGCTACAATAAAAAAAACACAGAGAATAATAAGTGTTGGAGAGAGTATGGAGAAAACAGAACCCTCATATACTCTGGTAAAAATGACAAATGGTGGAGTCACTATAGGAAACTGGTAGTTCTCAAATAATTGAACATAGATATCATGTGACCTGGCAATTTCACTTCTAGGTATACATTTAATCCAGAGAAATAAAAACATATGTCTATATAAAACCTTATAAACAAATATTCATAATACTATCTGTAAAAGACAAAATGTGCCAACAACCCAAATTTCCATTACCTGATAATGGAAATATGGCATATTCATGTAATGGAATATTATTTGACCATAAAAGGAATAAAATACTAACACATGCTACAACATAGATGAACTTAGAAACATTGTGCTAAGTGAAAGAAACACTTCACCAAAGACAATATATTATATGATTTCACAGATATAAAATGTTCAGAATAGAAAACCTTTCTGAAGAGGCAAAAAGTAGAATAGCAGTTACACAGAACTAAGGCATTTCTTCTGGGTGTGATAAAAATGTTCTGGAATTAGTGGTGATGTCATACAACTTTGTGAATAAATTTAAAACCCCCAAGTTTTATATTTTTAAAGGGTGAATTGCATAGTATGTGAAATATATCTCAATAAGCTGTTTTAAGGGGAAAAATGTATCTGCCATGAAGTTTGTCTTTATCTTAAGAAGTCTTTCTATGTGGGAAGGTAATTAAAGAGCCTATATTTCATCTAGCTTATCACTGTGATATTAAAGTCTTTCAAATAGTCACCAAGAAAATGAAACCTTTCAATTTGACTTATCCCTTTTTTCATCAAATATCCTGGTTGTACCCCAAATTTCTAAATTATCAATCCAAACAAAAACAAAGCAAAATTAACCCACAAAAATAAAAGGAAAAAAGTGATGTGACTGACTATGACTGATTATCTTCTTTCTTCTACCATTTAGACTAAAACTTTTCCTTACAAAAGGCTACTTTGTCTTGCTAACATCTAAAAATATGATTTTTCCCAATATACCCACCACAATTAAATAAGGATTTAAATTAAATTTTATTTATTTATTCTTTTTTTTTAAATTTTTTATTGTTGGTTGTTCAAAACATTACATAGTTCTTGACATATCAAATTTCACACTTTGATTCAAGTGGGTTATGAACTCCCATTTTTACCCCATATACAGATTGCAGAATCACATCAGTTACACATCCATTGATTTACATATTGCCATACTAGTGTCTGTTGTGTTCTGCTGCCTTTCCTATCCTCTACTATCCCCCCTCCCCTCCCCTCTTCTCTCTCTCTACCCCCCTACTGTCATTCATTTCTCCCCCTTGTATTATTTTTCCCTTTCCCCTCACTTCCTCTTGTATGTACTTTTGTATAACCCTGAGGGTCTCCATCCATTTCCATGCAATTTCCCTTCTCTCTCCCTTTCCCTCCCACCTCTCATCCCTGTTTAATGTTAATCTTCTTCTCCTGCTCTTCATCCCTACTCTTAGTTACTCTCCTTATATCAAAGAAGACATTTGGCATTTGTTTTTTAGGGATTGGCTAGCTTCACTTAGCATAATCTGCTCTAATGCCATCCATTTCCCTGCAAATTCTATGATTTTGTCATTTTTTAATGCAGAGTAATACTCCATTGTGTATAAATGCCACATTTTTTTTATCCATTCGTCTATTGAAGGGCATCTAGGTTGGTTCCACAGTCTTGCTATTGTGAATTGAGCTGCTATGAACATCGATGTAGTAGTGTCCCTGTAGCATGCTCTTTTTAGGTCTTTAGGGAATAGACCGAGAAGGGGAATAGCTGGGTCAAATGGTGGTTCCATTCCCAGCTTTCCAAGAAATCTCCATACTGCTTTCCAAATTGGCTGCACCAATTTGCAGTCCCACCAGCAATGTACAAGTGTACCCTTTTCCCCACATCCTCGCCAGCACTTGTTGTTGTTTGACTTCATAATGGCTGCCAATCTTACTGGAGTGAGATGGTATCTTAGGGTGGTTTTGATTTGCATTTCTCTGACTGCTAGAGATGGTGAGCATTTTTTCATGTACTTGTTGATTGACTGTATGTCCTCCTCTGAGAAGTGTCTGTTCAGGTCCTTGGCCCATTTGTTGATTGGGTTGTTTGTTCTCTTATTGTCTAATTTTTTGAGTTCTTTGTATACTCTGGATATTAGGGCTCTATCTGAAGTGTGAGGAGTAAAGATTTGTTCCCAGGATGTAGGCTCTCTATTTACCTCTCTTATTGTTTCTTTTGCTGAGAAAAAACTTTTTAGTTTGAGTAAGTCCCATTTGTTGATTCTAGTTATTAACTTTTGTGCTATGGGTGTCCTATTGAGGAATTTGGAGCCCGACCCCACTGTATGTAGATCGTAGCCAACTTTTTCTTCTATCATACGGCGTGTCTCTGATTTGATATCAAGCTCCTTGATCCATTTTGAATTAACTTTTGTGCATGGCGAGAGAAAGGGATTCAGTTTCATTTTGTTGCATATGCATTTCCAGTTTTCCCAGCACCATTTGTTGAAGATGCTATCCTTCCTCCATTGCATGCTTTTAGCCCCTTTATCAAATATAAGATAGTTGTAGTTTTGTGGATTGGTTTCTGTGTCCTCTATTCTGTACCATTGGTCCACCCGCCTGTTTTGGTACCAGTACCATGCTGTTTTTGTTACTATTGCTCTGGAGTATAGTTTGAAGTCTGGTATCGCTATACCACCTGAGTCACACTTCCTGCTTAGCATTGTTTTTGCTATTCTGGGTCTTTTATTTTTCCATATGAATTTCATGATTGCTTTCTCTATTTCTACAAGAAATGCCGTTGGGATTTTGATTGGCATTGCATTAAACCTATAGAGAACTTTTGGTAATATCGCCATTTTGATGATGTTAGTTCTGCCTATCCATGAACAGGGTATATTTTTCCATCTTCTAAGATCTTCTTCTATTTCTCTCTTTAGGGTTCTGTAGTTTTCATTGTATAAGTCTTTCACCTTTATACCCACCACAATTAAATAAGGATTTAAATTAAATTTTATTTATTTATTTATTCATTCATTCATTCATTCATTCATTCTTTTTGGTACCAGAGACTGAACTCAAGGGTGCTTAACCTTTGAGCCACATCCCCAGACCTTTTTATGTTTTATTTAGAGACAGGGCTTTGCTAATTGCTTAGAGCCTTGCTAAACTGCTGAGGCTGGCTTCAAACTTTTGAACTTTCTGTCTTAGCCTCCTGAGCCACTAGGATTACAGGCATGCACAACCATACCTGGCTTAAAATTATATTTTAAAGAAGAACACAAAAGCCATTTTAATATCTGTAAGAATTTATATTTTTTAATCCCCCTCTTTCCTTAGCCCATCCCATAAATTCTATTATTTTAAGTCTTACCTCTGTTTTTCCAGTCACCTCAGCTTCTGTCATGAGGTCTGCTAGAGCATATACGAAACCAAGATCTAACCTGAGATCCATTTCTTGAATCAACACTTTGAAATACCTAAATTATAAAGCAGAAAACATTTCATAAAATCAATTAATTGCACTGAGGAAAAAAAGTATCAGGTAAATATTAGAACTTTGAAATTTAGGACTTCTTAAATGAGTGCATAAAAAATAAATCAAGGCAATACTGTTTATAACAGCAACAAACTCAAAATATAAAAATGGCTATAGAGAGGAAATGGATAAGTAAACTCAAATTTTTAAAAATTATAAAAAATTAAAAAGAGGGGTGGGCTGTGGTTCAGTGGTAGAGCACTTGCCTCGCACATGTGAGGCACTGGGTTTGATCCTCAGCATCACATAAAAATAAATAAATAAATATATTGTGTCCTCTACAGCTAAAAATATATATTTTTTAAAAAAGCATAAATAATAGGTACACATATACAATAAACTACATTTTAAAAAGCAAGGGAATAAAGAGAGTTTGTCTCAGAGATAATTGGGAGAAACAGATAGAGTAGTACCATATAGACTTAAATTTTTGCCTATGTCCCATTTTTTGAATGAGTAGTGAGTGAAATATGAATATTATTTTGTTCTTGTTTCTAAAACAATCTACAGTCATTTTAGACAACTTAGGAAAAAGAAAAAAACAAATACACAAAAAAGTAAATAATAAAATACCCAGATCTAGAAACAATTATTGTTAAAATTTGAAGTATTTCATCCAGAGCCTTTTGAATTTCCAGGATTATAATATAATTAAGATATTTTTCTTTGATCCTTATTATCTAATATTTTACATTTAAATCTTTGACTTATCTGAAATTTATTTTTATAGAGTGCAGATAATTCATATTCTTCAACCAAAATATTAAATGAACATGTAAGAAATATATGACGACACTTACTTAATACGTGATATCTGCGAATGTCCTGCAGATCTCATGACAATACTGACATCTGTGAAGGGTTTTGGTGCTGTCAAGGTTATAAACATGATTACTCTCTTGATCCTTCAAGGCAAACATAAGCATTTTCTTCCAATTTAATATAATTATAATGGAAAATTAAATCATTTACTGAATCATGAGTATCAATTAAAATTACTGATATTTGCAAATTTCCTTATGGTATTAATTTCAGACTCTAGGACTGTGATTTTAATTATCTAAAGTTACTCTAAAAATAATTAATTCTAAAAATTAGTATTTTAAACTGGAAGTATGCATTAGAATCATCACAAAAACTATGAAAATAGATTCTGAAGACTTGCCCAAGATCTCTCAGTGGAGGGGCATGTATAGTAGTTAAAAGTTTTCAAAGGGGCAGGTGTTGTGGCTCAGTAATAGAGCACTTGCCTGGCATATGTGAGGCACTGGGTTCAATCCTCAGCATCACATAAAAATGAAAATATTAAATAAAATAAAAATATTGAGGCTGGGATTGTGGCTCAGCGGTAGTGCACCTGCCTGGCATGTGTGAGTGGGCACTGGGTTCAATTCTCAGCACCGCATATAAATAAATAAATAAAGGTCTATGAACAACTAAAAAAAAAAGGTATTGTGTCATTTACAACTAAAAGAAAAAAAGCTTTCAGGTTTTTTTTTTTTTTTAGAGCCTGTGGTTTGGAATGGGAAACCTAGAACAGAGGCAAGTGAAGTAGGGTGGAAAGGAGCAAAGAGAAAGTGGGGGAACAAGGATAGGTAAGAAAGGTAAAGGAGAAGAAAAAGTGGAAGAAAAGGTGTCAGTTATTCTCATCACAAAAGTTTCCTATTAGAAAACACTCTGAATTTGAATTTACTCATTATTTATTCAAATGATCTAATAGTTTTTAAATCACAGATTTATAGATTAGTAATCTGATGTGCAAATTAATATTTTTAAAATTTTAAATATACATTTACAATTAATCTTTTATTTTTAGCATTAACTTGAGTTTCAATGAAGTCAGCTGAATACTCTCTGAGGTTCCTTTTTAAGCAGTATAATTTTTCAGTGATCCTACAGTAGGTTTTATTTCATATTTTTACAGTAAAATGAACCTAATAGCTAGAACAACTGTTTTTATGGTAATCTAAAAGTAAAAACAAACCTGAGTCCATCGTGACAGACTTTGGAGGTTTAATAGGATAAAACACGAATGGAAAAATAGCACCAGGAATCTGGTTTTGAATCTAAGAAAACAAAAAAGAGGTCAATGCATAGTATATAAATAATACAACCTGACTAGAACAGTAGGCTTTAAGAAATAGAGGGAATCAAAAAGTCAGTCAAATATTGAAATTGAAGTAGGAAGTGAAGATTCAATTTTCTCCAGCTTCTCGGTGTGTTTTATACTGACTCCATCTTGCCTTTTTCTTTGGGTTTTGTAAAAGACAATATAGACCAGGGGAATAAATAGGGTTTTGAATTATGTTTTGCTGGTATTTTCAGTAAGACTTACCTGTATTCTGTAAATCTGAATTCTAAATGATGATTGATGTGCAGATGTGCTATATTCTACTTTTAATGCTGGAAGATAGTTTCTTCGAATAGCTTGTACATGTGGTTGCAAAATTTTCATGTTAATCCCACTAGGTGTGAAGCGAACCTGAAAAATAACCAATCCCCCCACAAAAAGAAAACCAACATGAAATGTCTCTTTTCCATAAATGATTAAGATTGAAAATTTATATCATAAAACTTTTAGGGTAATACTAATTTAAAGAGTAGGCTAAATATTTGACTAGGGTTAAGCTGAGATCTTTTACCTCATATTCTTAAATTGTACATACTTTTATAATCCTTATAGGTTGGCTGTATCAATTTTTACATTAATAAAATTTACATAATAAAAATCAAGTAATGAAAGAAAATAAATTTAAGAATAAAATAAAAAAACATTTTTAACTTCTCATTAACTAAAGAAAGTATCTTTAAGAGGAAGTGTTTTAAAAAATAACATTTTTAGTTGAAAATGGACTCAATTCATTTATTTTGTTTGTTTATTTTTATGTGGTGATGGGGATCAAACTCAGTGCCTCTCATGTGCTAGGTAAGTGCCCTACCACTGATCTACAACCCCAGCCAGAAAGTTTGATTTCTTAATAATATAACCATCCCTTTAAAATATTTTGTATGAGTTAGGTATGTTAGGATTAACTATATTCAATTTGTTTTGTAAGGAAGCCAGACTTTCCTTAAAATTCATTAGCAATTCAAACTACAATAGAGAAAAATTAGAAATTCAAATTAATGATTAAAAGAATTTACCGGAATATTAGTGTCCAACTCAATAACCTTGTCTTCTAAGGGTGAAGATTCAGTATATTCCTTAAATTCTTTTTCCAACTTCTCAGTATGCTTTACACTCATTGTCTTCCATCTTGCCTTCTTCTTGGGCTTTGTTTCCCAAACCACATCAGAACTTACATATGAAAGCAAAAATCATAGTACTAATTTATAATCATTTTCATTTAAACTGGTTTATTACATAAATTAAAAAACCTTTGTAAAACTTCAAAAGTTTTACTGAATTGTGAAATCACAATTTTAGCCTTAATTACAAATAAGCACATTACAAATCTAAAAACACGAATTAATTAACATTTCTGTCATTCCTATTCATTGTAGCTGGGGTATAATGGACAATAAGTAGTGAACAAGTGAATCAATTTTAACATATAGGTAAAAATGTTTGCAAAAGAGAAAAAGTATGCAAAATAAAGAGAATCTGGAGTCTCAGGATATGTGAAGTGGTGGGGAATGTGGTATTAAAATGGAGTAGTCAACACAGACCTCACTGAGAAGCTAAAATTTCATCAGCCTTAAAGGACGTAAGGGAGTTATCCAGCAGACTACAGAAAAAGAATATTTCATTTAAGTGCAAAGCATTAACAAAGATTCTAAAGCAATATCACATCTGTAGTAAATGAAGAACAAGAAGGCCAGTATGGTAGGAACACATTAAGAGTAAAAGATGAAGTCAGTCAGTGGGAGATCAAATAATGCAGAACCTTCTAAGACACTGAAAAGACTGAGTTTTATTCTGAGTTGAGGAAACACTGAAAGGTTAAAAGAAGATTAGTAACATAATCTATGTTTTGAGAATGCATTATGGGTTGGGGGAAGAAAAAAGGATCAAGGCTACAAGCAGAAAAACTTATTAAGGGTTAATACAGCAAGCACCTGAGAAATGGTACTGGCTTGGATGAGGGTAATAACAGGCAATAAAATATGGTCAGTTGCTATGCATACGTTGAAGGAAAAGTTAGTACAGAACTTCTCCATGAAATAGATATAGGGTATGAAACAGAGGAATTAAACAAAGTCTTCAGCCTGAGCAACTTGGAGTTGTGAATACCTCCCAAGGGAAACAGGTTTTGGTAGGAAAAAATTAAAGAGTTTGGTGTTACATATATGAAGTTAAATACGTCTCTTAGATATCTGAGCAGATTTTATGTAGGCAGTCAGATATATATGTAAAGAATTTGGAAAACAGGACTGGCTTAAGAAATATATTATTTGTATATCTACAAAAAGTTGGTTAATATATTGGTATTAGAAATTATGAAAAAATGAAATAGACAAGAGGATTGAGGTCTTAGAGCCTCAAAGCATCCAATGTAAGAAACTGAGAGAAAACAAGGAAACAACAAATGAATCCGAGAATGTTGGGACAGGAAGAGAACCCATGATGGTGAGATATCCTAGAAATCAAATGAAAGAAACTGTATCAAGAAGGAATTTGTGTTAAATAGCAAATCCTGCATGGAGTGGTTAAGAAAGAAAAGAATGAAAAAGATTGGAGATAGTGAACATATTAAACTCTTTTGAAACAGTGATTTGAGAAGTTTGGCTGTAAAGAGAAAAAATGAAATGGGTAGTAGAAAGAAAGAAAGTAGGGTCAGGAGATTTTTTTTTTTTTTAAGTTCAGAGAAGTAACAGTACTGACAGAAACAACCCAGTAGAGAGACAGAAACAACCCAGTAGAGAGACAGAAACAACCCAGTAGAGAGACAGAAACTGTAAACCTAAGATGGAAAGATGATGATGGTGGATCATTGTTGTCAAGTAAGTAACAGTGAAATATATATATGCAATATAGGAAATACAGTGCAAAAGTAGAAACATGTTTAAATGGGAGCACATACATATACTTATGGAACTCAAGAGAATCATATTGGTATAGCATGTAGGTACAAATGCTGGTAAATAAGAAGTTGTGATACTGGGAGATAAGGTGGGTCTAGGAAGTTTGCTTTTAATTGGCTTCAATTGGTGAAGTGAGATGCAAGGGAATGAACTGAGAGAAAACAGGAGTTTTAAGGAGAGACAAAATATAAAACAGAGCACTAGGATGATTAAAAACATGATAGTATTTATAAATTTGATTTTTGATATTTTTATCCCACAGGCAAAAAAAAAATCCTTATATGTACTTGGAAATTACAATCTAACAGTAATCTAGAAGAGAGTATAAATAGAAGAAATCTAATTGCACAGAAACTAAAATGCTTAAACACCTAACGACAGAATAAATATATATATACCCAAACAATATTATATGAATTTATGAATGTCAAAGAGAATCCCAGTATTATGTACAACTATAATGAACTATATATATGTATATATACTTATTTATTTATTTACTTTAATGGCAATTAAAAAACCCTATTGGGGGAAGTTTGGGGTACTAAAACTAATCAAAATATGTTATATTCGTGTTCCAATATATGTCACATTGTAAGTTACCATTACGTATAATAAGTATGCACCAATAAACACAGCCTCTAAAATTACTCTACTTACATAAATTATTTAATTTTAAGTATTCAATTTGTTTACTCTTTCCAATATTTATATTCACTTAATAAAACACAAAGTTAGAAAACCACATTTTCATCTTTGCCATATCATTTAGCATGAGAGATAATATATGATAGTTATAATAGCCATAAAATTTGTATTTTAACTTCTTATTTAAATAAGAAAAACTTTAAGTTTTTGAGAACAATGAAAATTTTAAAGAAAACAGCTTTAAGATTTATTTAAAATGACATTTATTCCATTCAATGAGAAATCGGTAAAATATAATTCACATAGAAACTAAATTTAAATATGTATCATAAATACCTTTAATATTTGGAATTCAACTCATGTAAAGGATTAAAACTACATTATCTTGTTAAGTAGACTGGAAGAAATGCTCTCACAATAGGCGTGCAGGTGCTCATGTGTGTGTGTGTGTGTGTTAATTTTAATTTAACAATTTGTGAATAGGAACAATAAGGGCATAAGGGAGAGATAAGAGCTTTAGTGGTGATGCCTTATATAGAAAATAATAAAATACAGCATTCTTTACTAGATCTTCAAGTGCCAAGGTCAAATTAGAATGTGGTTGTCTTAAGTCTTGCAACAACTACTTATGGATTATATATACAGTGTACTTTGTTCTCTGATAGATGGTAAGAAATAAATCAGAAAATTTTATGACTTGTTCAATAAGATATACTTTTAATAATTGAATAAGTCTAACTTTATTAGAGCACTAGGATGATTAAAAACATGATAGGGGATTTATAAATTTGATTTTGACATTTTTATTCCACAGCTCCCCCCTCCCCCCAAAAAACCCCCTTAAATGTACTTGGAAATTACAATTACCTTAGTATTGATAACTAGTCAAAAAAATTGTCATTTTAGATTTTTATGATCATTTCTTAATAATTAAGAACTAATTAAATTTATCCAAAACTTAAGGTACCTAACCTTGTAATGCCTATATAGGCTACTTCTTCCTTTGTATAATTGTTGACAAGAGAAATTCCAACATCTTGTAATGCCAACACAATTTCTTGCTCTGCTAACTCTGCTTTCTCACTTTCATATGTCACTTTAAACACTCTTGGATCTTCAGTGAATAAAATAATACGCTGTAAGCCTTCAAAGAATGAAACTAAATAAATGGTCTTTTTCCCCAAATTTATAGGTGTCATCATATCCTAAAAGAAAACCACACACACAAAAAAATTAGAGTTTGGTCCCAACCAACACAAAATCTAAATTTCATATTTGCAAAATGAAGATATTAATTTCACCTATTTCATAAGAGTGGAGTGGGGTGGCAAACTAAATGAATTAATATTTTTATAATACCTAGAAAATTAATCAGTCATGATTACTTCAAAGGATTAGTGACAACTAATTGAATTAATATTTGTATAATACATGGAAATTTACTTCAGTATCATTTGATAGCTGAAAGAGAATAAAAAATGTCTTGATATCTCAATTCTAAATTCTTATAAATGAAACACTGATATTCAGCACAGGACTAATTAGGTAGAAGGCACTTACAGAAGCATTGTGATGAACCAGGATCCTGAGGTTAAATAACATGATAAATGTAGCAAATTCCAGTAAGAACTATAAATTTCCAGCTAATGAATATTCAGATTATAGGAAATTTTAATATTTAGTAACATTCATGTTATAATGCACAGAAATTAGAAATGTTAAAATGAAATTATTGCATAGGAAACATGTTATAATACATTCTAAAGTAAAATAAACAGCACTAAAACAACATTGAGAGATAAGAAGCTTACAAATAATTCTTAAGTCTAATGTCTTGTGAATTTCTGCTTTTATAAACTTCAAACTATCACTATGATCTAAATATGCAAATATAATCAAGACTGTTTTTATATTAAAATATTTTTCCTGAGTAAATATAATCGGAATTAGAAAACATTAAATAAAGTTATTTAAATTATAGGTAATCCCCTTAAATACAATTTTAAAAAACCCATATCAGATTACTCGACAGCATTGGAAGACAATGGGAAAATATTACCAATATGCTAAAAGAAAGTCACTCTGAACCTAAAATTCCTTCCTTAGCAAAAATATCTTCATGGAAGACGAGGACACAAATAAAGATGCATGCTAAATTACTAAAGTTCATCATCAAAAGAGATTCATACAAGGATATTCTAGAGAAGGAATTAACAAATGGCAAAAACAAAGTGATCCAAGATGGAGGTTTGAAACAAAATAGATGTTAAGCAAATAAAATAAGATCTATCTGGGAAAAAAACATTTTATAAAATTCAATATTAACCATGATTTAAAAAAAAACCCTTTGGTAAATAAGGATTAAATGAGAAGTTATTTACCTACTTCTTCTGTATTTGTTCTAATTAGTTATACATGATAGTAGAATGCATTTTGACACGTCATACACAAATGGAGTATAACGTCTCATTCTTCTGGTAGCACATGATGGAAAGTTATACAGGTCATGTATTCATATATGCACATGGGGTAATAATATCTGATTCATTCTACTATCATTCCTATGCCCATAACCTCCCTTCACCCCCATTACCTCTATCTGTTTAGTCTACAATACCACTATTCTACCTCCCACCCCTTAATGTGAATTAGCATCCACATATCAGAGAAAATATTCAGCCTTTGGTTCTGTGGGATTGGCTCATTTCACTTAGCATAATATTCTCCAGTTCCATCCATTTACAAGAAAATGCCATAATTTCATTCTTCATTAAGGCTAAGTAATATCCCATTGTGTATATATCACAGTTTATCTATTCATCTGCTGAAGGGCAGCTAGGTTGGTTCTATAGTTGAATTGAGGAGCTATAAACAATGATTTAGCTGCATTATTGGAGTAAGCTGATTTTGAGTTCTTTGGTATAAACCCAGGAGTAGGATGGCAGGGTCATATGGTGGTTCCGTTCCAAATTTTCTTAGGACTCTTTATACTACTTTCCATAGTGGTCACACCAATTCACAGTCCCACCAGCAATGTACTAGTATACCTTTTTTCCTTTGTCCTTGCTAACATTTATTGTGGCTTGTATTCTTGATGATTGTCATTCTGAATGGAGTGTAATGGAATCTTAGTGTAGTTTGATTTGCATTTCTGTAATTTAGAAAAGTTGAACATTTTTTCATATATTTGTTGATCATTTGTATTTCTTCTTCTGTTAAGTGTCTGTTCAGTTCCTTTGCCGATTTACTGATTAGGTTTTTTTTTTTTTTTTTTTTTTTTTGGTGTTAAGTTTTAAGTTCTTTATATATGCTGGAGATTAATGTTGTATCTGAGGTGCATGTGGTAAAGATTTTTTCCCATTCTGTAGGCGCTCTCTTCATGTTACTGATTGTTTCCTTTGCTGTGAAAAAGATTTTTACTTTGATTTCATCCCATTTAGTGATTCTTCATTTTACTTCTTGCGCTTTAGGAGTCTTAAGAAAGTCAGTTCCTAAACCAACATGGTGGAGGTTTGGGCCTACTTTTTCTTCTATTAGGAGCAGGATCTCTGTTCTAGTGCCTAAGTCTTTGATTCCCTTAAGTTGATTTTTGTGCAGAGTGAGAGATAGGGTTTTAATTTCATTTTGCTACATGTGGATTTTCAGTTTTTGAGCACCATTTGTTGTAGAGGCTATCTTTTCCCCAATGTATGTTTATGGCATGTTTGTCTAGTATGAGATAACTGTATTCATGTGAGTTTGTCTTTGTGTCTTCTATTCTGTACTACTGGTGTACATATAGGTTTTGGTGCCAATACCTTGCCATTTTTGTTACTATGTACTATAGCTCTATAGTACAATTTAAGGTCTGTTATTGTGATGCCTCCTGCTTCACTTTTCTTGCTAAGGATTGCTTTGGCTATTCTGGGTCTCTATTTTTCCAAATGAATTTCATGATTTATTTTTCTATTTTTATGAAGAATGTCATTGGGATTTTAATCAGAAATGCATTAAATCTATGTAATGCTTTTGGTACTATGGAGGTGGTTCACTGAAGGAAAAACCAATCAAAAAGGAAAAACAAGTCAAGTTAAATAACAAAAATAAACAAATATAGCTGGAAATACAAACCATATCTCAACAGTAACCTTAAATGTTAATGGCTTAAACTCACCAATCAAAAGACATAGTCTAGCAGATAGGATTAAAAAAAGATCCAACAATATGCTGCCTACAGCAGACTCACTTGATAGGAAATGGCAAACAAAGACTGAAGGTGAAAGGTTGGGAAAAATCATACCACTCACATGGACTGAGGAAGCAAGCAGGGGATCTCCATTCTCATATCAAATAAAGTAGACTTCAAGCCAAAAGTTAATCAAAAGGGATAAAGATGGACATTACATACTGCTCAAGGGAACTATATACCAACAAGATATAACAATCATAAGTATATATGCCCCAAACAATGGTGCAGCTATGTTCATCAAACAAACTCTTTCCAAGTTCCAGAGTCAAATTGACCACAACACAATAATCTCGGGTGACTTTAACACACCTTTCTCACCACTGGACAGACCTTCCAAACAAAAGTTGAATAAAGAAACTATAGATCTCAACAACACAATCAAATCTTAATGGAATGAAGTTGGAAATCAATGACAAAATAAAGAATAAAAATTTCTGCATCACATGGAGACTGAACAATATGCTACTAAATGAACAATGGGTTACAGAAGACATAAAAGAGGAGATTAAAAAATTCTTAGAGGTAAATGAGAACACAGCCACAACTTATTGAACTCTCTGGGACACTATGAAAGCAGTACCAAGGGGAAAATTCATTGCATGGAGTTCATTCCTTAAAAGAAGAAAAAGTCAACAAATAAATGATTTCACATTACATCACAAAGTGCTAGAAAAAGAAGAACAAATCAGCAGTAAAAGCAGTAGAAGGCAAGAAATAATTAAAATCAGAGCTGAAATCAATGAAATAAAAAAAAAAAAACAATTCTGATTCAAATGTGAAAAAAAATAAAATATAAACACAGGAAAAAAAGAATACAAACAACAATAAGTGTTGGCGAGAATGTGGGGAAAAAGGCACATTCATATATTGCTGGTGGGACTGCAAGCTGGTGCAACCAATATGCAAAGCAGTATGGAGATTCCTAGCAAAACTTGGAATGTAACCATCATTTGACTCAGCTATCCTACTCCTTGGTTTATACCCAAAGGGCTTAAAAACAGCATACTACAGAAACACAGCCACATCAATGTTTACTGCAGCACATTTCACAATAGCTAAATTGTGGAACCAACCTAGATGCCCTTCAATATATGAATGGATAAAGACTGTGGTATATATATACACAATGGAATATTAGTCAGCATTGAAAGAGAATAAAATCATGGCATTTTCAGGTAAACAGATGGAGTTGGAGAATATCATGCTAAGTAAAGAAAGCCAATTCCAAAAAAATCAATGGCTGAATGTTTTATCTGATATGTGGATGCTAATCCATAATGCGGATTGGGGGGAATCATGGGAGAAATGGAGGACCTTTAGATAGGGAAAAGGGGAGGGAGGGAAAGGGAGGATGGATGGGGCAAGAAAGATGATAGAATGAAATGGACATCATTACCCTAAGTACATGTATGAAGACACGAGTAGTATGACTCTACTTTGTGTACAACCAGAGAAATGAAAAACTGTGCTCTATATGTGTGCTATATATATATTGAAATGCATTCTGCTATCATGTATAACAAATTAGAGTAAATAAATAAATTTTATAAATAAAAAAATAAAGATAGGTATACATTGCATGAAAAAAAAATTGACAAAACTAAAAGTTGATTTTTTGAAAAAATAAATAAAATTGACAGACCCTTAGCCATGCTAAAGAAGAGGAGAGAGAGAACTCAAATTACCAGCATATGTGATGAAAAAGGCAATATCACAACAGACACTACAGAAATACAGATGATAATTAGAAATTATTTTGAAACCTTATACTCTAATAAAATAGAAGACAGTGAAGGCATCAATAAATTCCTTAAGTCATATGATCTGCCCAGATTGAGTCAGGAAGATATACACAATTTTAACAGACCAATATCAAGTGAGGAAATAGAAGAAGCTATCAAAAAGTCTTTGACCGGATGGATACACATCTGAGTTCTACAAAAAAGCCCAGGACTGCATGGATACACATCTGCATTC